CTGTCTGCTTGTATGTATGTAAGTACGCATGCATGTATGTGTACGTTTGTATATAAGCATGCATGTCTGCATAATGTGTGTATGTGTTACATGTTTGTATGGACGTATGTATTGTGTTGCATTGTATGGTTTTCTATGTGTGTGTACTTATGTATGTATTGCATGCATGTCTTTATTATTGTACTGTAGTGGTTCGCAGTATATTATTGCTTTGTAACGAAGTTGGAGATGTCTCGAGAAAACTTTGATATCACGCCGCCTTGCGCAAATCAATACAAATCAGTCTTGCCCCAGGGGCGAAGGCTGTGGAGTCTCAGACTCAGCGCAGTGCCGATCAGCCGATGTGAAGTGGAGCCCGTGGTGCGGCAGGCTGCGGTGCTCACAACAGGTGAGCATGCATCTTGGACAGGCACGGCTTGGGTCTTGGCCCTTTGGTGATTCAGCACATCTCAGCACTAAGTGTGGCAAAGTGTATAAGTCAAGGTGTTCCTTTGCGCAGCTGCGATCAACCAGGCCACTCATGCCAATGTACGACCACCCTCTTGCGATCTCGTGCGTCCTTCTCTCGCTCTGGGTCTGGTGGCTCGCTCTCTCTCTCTCTATCTCTCTCTCTCTCTCTGTCTCTCGCTCTCTCTCGCTCTCTCTCTCTCTCTCTCTTTCCCCCTGTGACTATTTGTTCCCCTGTCTCTCGCCCCAAGCATATGCTTGCCAGGATGGGCGAAGTGCAACGCTCACGGCACCCAACCGACATTCACAGCAAGATGCTACAATCTAAGAGCAGTGCAGGCGTGTGAGTGCATCGGTGGCCACGCAGGTCAATTTTGCGCTGCATGAACTTTTTCTGTTGGTTGTGCCGGTGCTTGTTGCATCCTTCCGACGGCAGGTTCAGGTATGTCATAATTTGAGCTGTAAGCATCTGTAAACTAGATTACAAGCATTGAACTTCATGTCGGAATCGTGCATTGGTTGTCTGCCGGCCCAAACACTGAAGAGTTTCGCGGGCCAAGAACATCTGACCAGCCAAGATAGACGACCAGAGCTCTTTCTTACCGTGGGTTAGCTGATACTGCCTCCTCGATCCACATCTTTGGTACCCCAAGGTTTCACTCAGCCAGCATTCAAGCTGGAATTGAGAAGAAGCTGAGGTCATCTTGGATGCTTTGTCGTGGTGCACTCAAGAGTCATCGGTTCATGAGCACATGGTGTGGCAGAATCCGCCGAAGGATGGCCTGCATGCCTGCAGTTGCCGTGGGCATGGTGGAATGTCATGGCACTGGAACGGCGCTCGGTGATCCCATCGAGGATGGGACAAGAAAATGCGGGCGGCCGAGTTGGGAGTCTGTTTGTTTCTGTGTTTTGTGAAGGCAGGAGCCCTGGCGGCTGTTCTGGGGACCTCCAAAGCCGAGGCACATCGAACCCTCAACAGAGGAGCTCCAAACTGAAACGCTCTGCTAGGATCCGCTGTGGTTGGCTGCAGGGAAGACCAATCTTGGGCACCTCGAGGCGAAATGCCTCGGCCTGGAGACATGAAGTCACGGGATCACACGGGATCGGCGAGACACCACTGAGCTAGGCTGCTGCTGGGTTCGCGGGTGCTGCCAAGGCAGGGGACATGCTTCCTGCCCTTTCAGGTTGTCTGGATCTTGGCCCAGAAGCTTTTTTTGCGATTGGACTTGCAGGTGATTGCCTGCCTGAATAACGGCGGAGTTCCTGCTAACTTGCATTTCGCCGAGCTCAACCCGCACATCGATTTGGTTGGCCTGGCTCTTCCCACAGCGGTGCCTTGCTTGGAAGATGTCGGAGCAGTGTTGTTTGCCGCAGCGGCTCTTGAAGCAACCTGTTCACTGGAACGTAGAGAGCGACTTTAGGAGCTTGCGACTGACTCTGTGTCAGGTCGCACATGTCAGCCAAAAGGGGCTTCCAGTTGCTTCCATAGTATTGCAGTGGCTTCTTCTGTTGCCAAGGTGACACCGCTCGCTGATTTGCCGAACGAAAAGCTCATTTCAGGCCTGCAAATGTTGTCTTTTGGTCTGTGCTCAAACTTGCATTATTGATAAACCCTGGATTTTGTGAATGACCCAGCTATGCCCAACGCTGTACACACGAACTAAGCCAGCGCGCCAACCCGCATCCACTGGGCTCCGCCAGTCGCAACCAATCCCACAATGAGTTAAACTATGAATGTCAGCTTACTTTTGAAGTTTGATATTCAACTTTGGGATTTGGTGTCCTTTACGGACGCCTCAAGGGTTGGCTTCTTCCGCAGAATATAGTATCTAGCATAGAAGCCGCAGTTTTAAAAGACTTACAATGATCGTTTTCTCATGTCGGGTTAAGTATCGTTGTGTTCTTTGCAAAATCCTGATGTTTCGGTGAAATCGCTGTATCCAAGAGCCTCGAAAGAAGCTGTCTACTTATCGTCTATTACTGCATCGTATGTTCCTTCTTGTTGGAAGGTTGAATGACTTTACTTATCAATGTTTTCGTTTAGATAGTGCATGTGTTAAGAAGTGTTTCCTTTTACAACTGGTCTTTATTCCCAGCAGGAATACCCGCAGGTGAAACAACTCATCAAAGAGACTTCATATTTTCTTTAAGTGGCGGCGGGTATTGTAGTTTTGTTGTTTGCATGTTCAGTTCTTTCTGGTGTTCTTTGTGGTTGTCCTTCTTGTCCCGTGCGTCTCGCGGAACCCTGCGGGTAGCTGCCACATTAGGTTGGTCTGGTTGCAAAGCGATGCAAGTATGCAAGGCCTTAGATCTGCTGCTATAGCTGCCATAATCATGCGCTGGATTTGGTGGTGTAGTCCAGGGGTTACTGTGGGCGGGGTTGCAGTAAACATTCTTCTCATGGCTGCATCATCCAATCCACTCTAGCGCTGGTTCTGCTAGTCGGATGCGGTTAGATCATGACTTGAGGTCAGACTGCCTGCAATGTTTGTATACACTCTCATTCTTTCGCTCCCGATTGTGCTTGCTCTATCCTCTCCTTAGGTTCGTGATGTGTTTGTTGCTGATGTGCTTGAGTTATTTCTTGTTGATTTATGTGAAGTGCTTCTTATGCTCTTTGTAGAACTCCTTCCATCTGTGCTCATGTGAAGCCTTCTCTCTGCACCAAAAACATCCTCATTATCATGTTCTGCTTTTTAACATTTCTGGTCCCGCCGGTGAAAGTGTTCGTCCTTCTGTTCCCGTGTCCAACAACGCCCTATCATTCTTCTCTGTTCCACCTTCAATCTTTCTAAGTGATCGCCTACAATCAGAATAAAAACCTTTGTTACCAGCCTTATAGAATACCGCATCTCAGTTGGCAACAGTGTTCATGCTTCGGTGTGATCTCATATAGCAACTACCAGTTTTTAAAATTACGCAGTGTGTTGCAAGAGTTTTGAGTCGGCTCTGTAAATCCACCATGGATCTTTCAGGTATTCTAGGGTTCTGCTCTTCAAAATGCATTGACTTCGTTCATCTTGTTGAGTTTGAAGATGAATACTGCGGATGCGCCGAGTCTGATGATTCGTGCCAACAGACTAGATTTCTCAGTTGATAAAACGAATTAAATGGCACTATGACGACCTGTCGTGAACAACCCATGTAACAAACCTTAGTATCTTACACATTTCGGATCGTTGGCGAAGTCGTCCACCACTAGCAGGCTGCTAAACAAATCTTGTTGTTACTCCTTCTTCTTATTCTGAACATCACTTAATATATACTCAGGCGTTGAGTGTCTATGATCTCCTTCAGTACCACAACATCGCATTCGTCATCATAACGTGTTCTTTTTCCGCGTCTAACTTCATCGCGTCGCCTATGTATTTCTTGACTGCCGTCCAAGTGTCATCAGCATGAACAACGGGCGAGCATGCGTATATCCGTCCAACTCATCCTACAGATTTGCAAGATTGAATTACCGATTTAATACTGTCTTGCCACTTTGTGGTTTCTGTGTTTGGATTCGGGTATGTCGGTTGGTTCCACTTCAGGGGTATCTTGTATTAGAATACTGGTTATATGACAAATTTGCATAGAGTATGGTAAATTCATTGATGCCATTGACGACAATGAATTGAACAGACGACGATTAAGGACAGATTTCACAGGCGATGTTGTTACTCACTACTGGAAATCTGGAAGGGTATTCTACAGTATCAAGAACTGAAGCAAAATGACTCTGCCAGAAAATAAACGGATGATAAACAAGATAGTGACAAAAGCGGTTGTGGCGTTCAATTCAATAAACATATATGGAGATGTTTGCCTTGTGGATGTAAGCGTAACACACTGCACGCAGAGACACATGCAACAACCAAGAAAGATAATGAGGTAGTGGTTAGTCTCGTTGGGGATCGCAGCTTCCGCATTGGTCGCAGGATTGCCCCACATGGTCAAAAGATATTTAGAAGAATTAGAAGAACTGAAAACGGCTATTCAATCAGGAGAATTTCGCAATAGCCGGCACATGATGGGGACAAAGAGGGAGAAAGATAACTCCTGAAGAAGCCAGCGGCACGATTCAGCATTCAGAGAAGCAGGTAGAAGAATTGAATAGCTTCCAGAGAATGAACAGTATGGCATGAAAAATATCTAGCTTTTTATGACCGGCTACGAATGCAATATCACCAGTTTGGAGTAGACACTAAGCCGCAAAGCACAGATGCCCGACAACGTCAAATCTTCGATAAGCACACTAGACGAGCGTGGAACCGAGATTAACTCTGTTACGGTAAAGCTTAAAGTTGCACTCGTGCCGAGGTACGAGGTACGNNCTGTCACTGAGGCCCGCATACGCCAACAAAAATTGAAGCGCGCTACTTGGTTGGTCGAGCGGTCCGTGGGCTAGCCGAGTCTGGGAAGGCCGAAGCTCGGTCCTTCGCCCAGGGGCGAGAGAGACTCGGATTCGCCTCCATTGGCAAAAGCTAGACTGGAGAGGCCTTTCCTGGGTCCACTACACGCCTGGTCCTGTGCGGTACAGGGGAAGTCGGGCCCTCACGCTACCAACCATGGTCCGGGTCCTTTGCGGCTGGCAAGCTGGACGACTGGAAAGTGGGGGGCGACAACAGAAGCCCCAGCCGCTACTGGAAGGCGCTGCACCGCTGAGCTTCTTCACGGACACCAAGGCCGAGGCTGGTCGGGCCTGGATTGGTAGCTTGTATGAGCTGCGGAGGCCAGGGCCCTTAGTTCTCGCTAGAGGTCACTCCGAAGTGGGCCCCCTGGGCTTTCGCTAAGGGCGATCCGGGCAAGGTCATTGCCGCGCCAGAGCTCCTGGCCACGCTGGTTGTTGGAGTCCAACTCTGGGTCCCGGATGGGAACGCTAAGAAGACATCTCGAGTTGGCATACGAGGCTACACCGATAGCCAGTCGAATGAGGCGCTATTGAGGAAGGCTATGACCACCAAGTTCCCGTCGACGCTAATCCTCATGGAGCTAGCCGAGGAGCTATCGGCCAAGAACTGTGAGCTCCAGCTGCAGTGGATCCGGCGGGACTTGATCCAGCTAGCAGACGACCTCACCAACGAGAACTTCGCTAGCTTCGACCCTAGCTTCAGGGCTCTTGGAGCTTCCGATCCTGTTTGGGCCTCGGACGCTTTTTTTAGGTTTAATGTTTTGGGTTGAAGGTCTAGGGTTTGGGGTTTAGGGGTTATAAGGGTTGTGTAGGGGAGCACTTGCAGTCCATGCTCGACGTTAGTCGTGGGTGAACCTGAAAGGGGAAGCGCTAGAATGGCGAGTGCTAGGTCGACTCTTGACCATGCGACCAGCTACTTTGAAGAGTTGGGCATGGCTAAGAGGACCACGAAGGCCGCGGCTACGAGGTTCGCGAAGCGACCACGTCAGCTAGGTCCCTGGTGACCCGACGGCTTCGCTGGAGATTGGCTGGCCTGGACGGAGTTCCGGCTAGAGACCTTCTCCGGGGCAACAGGGACCTGTGCCACACCGCTAAAAAGAGTGAGGGTCTGCGTCAGCTGTGTGTCCTTTTGCTAAAGCCTAGAGCTTGACAGCTACGAACTCTAGGCGGGGTCCTGGGGAGGTGGCGGGATAGGAAGTGCTAGCTAGTGTACGCACTCGTGCCGAGGTACGAGGTACGACCGTGTATGCTAGCGCTAAACAACCGTCGTAGGAAATATCGAGGGTGTTTCGGCTAGGAACACATCGAAGATGTTTCCGCTAGACTCGATGTGCTATCGAACTTCTGGGGAGCACATGGCATGACATGAGCACCTTGCTATGTCCGTGGCAATTGTGCTAAAGAGCCCCGCTGCTAGGGGGGGGGGGGCAAATTTGAAGTGCCCACGCTAGTGTACGTCTATATGCACAGTTTCATCATCTCACATAATGACAACATGCATACTTTCATAGGAACGCTAGAAAATCAGTTGATTTTGGTCCATGCTGTGAAGCGGATACTTGTCTTACTAGGCCGTGTTTCTCGTTGTGAGAAAATGTTTGATATCTGTTTTTCGAACGTTCGTACTGAGTTGGTGGACACTCTTGTTGCTATATTCAAGTCAGTGATCCTGCCCTGTTCTAAATATTTTGGTACGTCTGTCCAGAATTAGTTAACGATCCCATAATCAGAATGTGATTTCCGAGGAAGACGGTATAAAGGCTGGGATAAGCGTGTGTTCATGTAGTGGGTTGAGATGTTGGGGTTGGATTTAAGCTGGGCAGGGGGCTGGGTGGTGCCATACGCCTTCATAGGCAAGGCTAACTCCAACTCAATGAGGGTGGGTATGTGAAGACGCCCGGGAACATATTCACAGCCGGCGAAAGTGCGAGACTATTGCCAGGCTTATCTTCCTTCGGATTTGGTGGGAGCAACGCGCATGTGCTGTTGGCCAACCCCAAAGATGCCAGTCGCAAGACAGGCCAGCTTTGCCTTCCGTCTTGGGAGGGGATCTGCCAAGTGGTGAGAGTGCAGCGCATCTCGACAGGCGCTGGTGCGTCTGGGCGAGGCCAAAGAGTACTCGTCTCAGAAACGCAGGCATTCCTCCTAGATTGGTGTCCGGAAGCAAGCTCATTGCGCCTTTCACGCAGGTTGCAATGCTCTTCACGGGTCAGAGCAGATTGAGGCAGAAGCCAAGTCAACCCTTGCCGCTGCAATAATTCCGTCCCGCTCTTTCCTGCCACATTGGGTGGGTCTTGCAATGCCTGGAACTCGCCCACAGCATTCTACTGCCCCCTGACATATTTCATCGTCATGTTCATCATCATCACCACCAATGACACCCTGGTGTCATGAACAGCAGTAGCAACATCAACGAACCCTTCTGCATCGCGTCATCAATCAACACAATAAGCCATGATCTTGTGTGGTGGGGGTATTTGAGCACTCGACCTTCAAAGAATTTCATGTGTGACCTACGTAGTGTTTATCCATCTGGGAAGGTCGGCACTTCCAGAACTCAGGGTAATCTTATTCCTCCCGAAAGCATTTGAAGACGGCTTTGCAGGGAACCCAGGTCAGTTGTTTCTTGCGATCGGGACTTGCATTGGCGGCTGGCTTCACGGCCAAGTTTCCTTTCTCCTCGCCTTTTTGCGTGTTCGGGCGGATGCATCTGGGTTGCCGAGTTTTGTCGTTCGAGGTGCTGTGGACATAACAGGCATTGGATGTATCTGAGTTGGCAAAGTGCGTCGTGCGAGGTACTGCTTCCCTTGCCAGCGCATGCGAGATTCCATATACGCGTAGGATACATCAGGTGATCTTGCCGCTCCCGTGGCATTATATAGTTTAAACTCGAATAGAGTCGCAAGGCAAAACGAGCAACTGTTTTCGCATATCCACACCTCACTCGTCCACAAACGTGCAAGCAGTAGATTGCGATGCCTCGGATAGGCCAGGCTTGGGCAGAGAGCTCTATGCTGCCAATACAGCCTTCCGAGCGGCGCTGGATCGCTGTGCCCCAAGCCCAGAGCAGTTACAATTCCACGAGCAAGTGCAGTTCGAGACAGCTCTGCACAAGCTGTTTTTGGGGTTGCCCACAGCGAGGCGACGCTATGCTCAGATCTGAATGAAGGGCTTCTGGACATCCTGTTCGGAGTGCGCCTCTCAGTGGAATCGGCGAGCAGCCCTAGGCCAACGCAGCAACTTCGCAATGCTCGAAGCCTGAAGTATACCGAAGGACGTGACCTCTGCAGAGACTTGCAGTCGCCCTAGCAGCGAAGTGTCGCCGTTTCATTAACTGTTTGATGATGGCTTCGGCGACGAAGGTCGAACCTCCTTCACGGCGACGTTTTGCATACAGTATGCGCTAGCCTGGGCCTGAGGCTGGGATGGCATGATGCAGGCAGGTGAAGCTCATCTCCTAAATTCAGAACCCAAGAGGTTGAAGCCTGGCGATCATGGGGCGTGCACCCGCACGCAGTTCTGGGACACAGTCAGGGACCGAGTGCTCCCTTCGCTCGAGTGTACATGTCGGGTCGCATGCAGCCTTGAACAGAGGGTACAATCGGAAGACTATGAGCCTCCCGCGACTCCATGATCCCGAAAGTACGAAATCATCTAAGTCCAAAGTGGAAGGACGAAAGCTGTTTCCAAGGAAATCTGTAAGCTTGTGGCCGAGGCTTGGGTGAATACGCGGCAGCAGTGGCCGCCGGCGTCAGCAGCTCAAGGAACCAAGGAACACTTTTTGCACTCCTGCCGTGGCTCTCGAAACTTATCGATATTGGATTGATGATTTAGGGTCGTGTCGACCTGGATACCTAGTTTGTGCTGCTTTGTATTCTGGCAGCTTCTTGTAGTGATGTTCCTGCATGCATCCACTTTCTTCGGAGCTGCATGTTTTCGTGCTGCTCAGCTCGGCTACCAAGTGACTTTCACCGTCTGTGGTGCATGGTCTGCAGCCACGCTCCACCACTCAGGTTTTGTCCTTGGAAGATGGGCCGGCAGCTTACTGTACTATTTCGACATCAGCATGTCAACCCAGGCTTGCAAGCCATGCTTGCCTGGAGTGCACGCCAAGCTGCTGGCCGGTGTCGCCCGAATTTGGCCTCAGGATTCGTGTCGTCATGGCACGTGGGCGGCTGCTCGATGAAATGAAGCTTCCTCAGAGACCTCAGAAGAGATCAGGAACGGTCGGGCTATAGCTGCGGTTGCAAGGTGCGCCCCTGGCGAGGGCTCAATGGCCGCTGTCTTTGCACCAACCCACGAGGCCGACTCGGGCCGGCTGAGATTTCATCTCGGCAGACAGAAGAAGCGTTGGCTCGGTCAGGTCAGGAGTGCCATGGTCGGGTTCTCACTGCTGAGCTGCTGTGTTCTTTGCTGTTCTTTGCTGTCAAGTCTGCCCTTGCCGGAGCTCCCAGGAGAAGATTCAAAGTGCCCGCAGCCAGGGTTTGACAATCGCCGCAATGAATGGCCCGAATCAGACCGTCCGAGACTTCTCCTGACTGAACTAGATTGCTGCACTGCGTTGCTCTGTCTGTCAGGTTGTCTCTGGCCGTGCCAGCCTTGTGGAGGCGAGCTCCGAGCAGTGCGGAGCGGACTGCGCGTGTTGCGCGGTGGCGTGGCAGGATTTGTGTAGTCTCTTTCCAAGCAGAAGCCGGCGGCTCCCATCGTGTCGGCCTTGGCCCTCCCAGCGCCTAGCTGCACAGAGCTGCACCTCTCTGGGACCTCCTTGCGCAGTTCAGTGCTCAAGCGCAGATGTGATCGGTGCCCTTGAGATGCAGGAGTTTCTGGCAGGCAAGGTAGTGCAGCAGCAGCTCAGTCGATTTAATTAGTGTTGGTATTCTCAAGGTCCAATATGGCGGCAGGCTCCCACTTCAGTGGGTGAGGTTGGAGGGTCAAGCAGCACTAGCACCACACGTCGCCTCAAGAGAAATTCAGTTGCAGGCGCACCTCTCCCTGCCAGCGGGTGCAGTGCGATCATCACCGCGCCAGCCCCTCTGCATCGGAAGCTGATGGAAAACAGGTCTTTTCAACAGCAGACAGTACAGCAGGAACCCTTCAACACCGAGCACAGCCCTCATCCTGGACATCTCTGTGTCAAGAGCCTTGGCGAAGATGAATCACAGCATGGTGCAATCACTTACAGAATTTACTGCCTTACAGCGTTCGGAAAGCTTGGAGGCCACACTGAGCTTTGCGGGTGTTGGGGCCATTCAAGCCATTCAGCGGCGCCGTATGTGGACGAGAAGACGTGCCGACAAGGAGGAGCTTGGGGAGACTTGAGACAGGTAGACCAACACAGTCCCTACTGTTGCAGGAGTCTCAAGATGTGACCATAGATAGCTTGGACTTGGAGACTCTCTCAGATGAGTCCGTGCGGCAGCTGCTAGAGGCGCGTGGTCGGTCTAGTGAGGAAGCAGAACTGGACCGCACTTCAACAGAGGTCAACGAAGGCTTCGTACAACAAGCTAGAGTTTGACGACAGTCCGCCAACTTGCCCATTCAGCTGCGGGCAAGTAGGGGAGACATCATTGCAACCTTGACAAAACATCTAGTAACAGTGACAGCTCTCACAGTGCTGACCATTCTGATGGGTTTAGGGGTTTAAGGTGTAGGGTGCCGAGATGGTTGCATCCAGGCTTGTTTGGGATCCACGGTCTGGAGCTGTTAACACCTTCTTTTTCGCAACTGTCTTCAACTGCTTCGCTGTGGCTTTCAGGGCCATCTGCTTTCCATCTGCCAAAACAGCGATTTTTTCTGCCGCTGATTACGGAAAGGCCGACTCTGCGGAGAATGGAGGGGAATCACCATTTGGGCAATAGCGGTGGGAATCAAACAAAACGGGAGGACGGAGACCGTTTTGGCACATTCTCGGCCTGAACACGCCAAAACAGTGATTCCCGCCCGGGGCTGAGGATCAAAGACGAAAAGGCGAAGAATGGAGGGGAATCACCGTTTGGTCGCGAGTGGCGCGGACTCAAACAAAAATCACCGTTTTGGCAGGTTTATGGACTGAAAACGCCAAAACATTGGGACGAGGGAAAGCAGAAATGGACGGGAATTACGGTTTAGGCACAATCACAGCCTGAAGCCAAAAATCAACGATTCCGCTGAGTGGCGGGGATTCAAAAAAACAGAAGGGCGGAGAATGGAGGGAATTCCTGAGCACTGCTACTACTACTGAAAGGAGTTCGAAGTTAGGTTACCGACATGCACCGTTTTTGCATTGTTATGGTTAACGATTATAATTGTACTGTTTTGTGCTTACTTAAAGCCTTCGCTAGGCAACAAGAAATGGGGTGTTCCGACGCCTCCTCATCCGTGCTGTGCTACCCCCGAGATGCTGCAACCGTGCTTTTGCATCATACCCAGGTATATCCTCCGCTGAAACACCGCAAATACATCACTGCATGCATCTGCAGAGGCATGCGCAGCCATGGACCAACCGGCAGCACTCCCGCCTCTTGCACGGCAGCGCAGCAGAGTTCCATAATCTTTTAGTTGCATCCTTCCTGTCTTCAGAACCCAGGTTCCTAGATCCACCGAGATACCGGGAATTCATTGTCAATGTGCCCGGCGACGCCGGGTTTGACCCGTTCTGTCTTGCGAAGGCCTCTGACTCAGCCATCGGCCTAGGGAGACGTGGCCGTAGAGACAGCGACACCGACAGACACTTAGGACTTGGCCACGTTTAAATGGATGCAAGAAGCCGAGCTCAAGCATGCGCGAGTTGCCATGCTGGCCACTGTGCTCTGGCCGCTCTCGGAGACCGACTCGGCTCTCAAGCTGCCCTCAGATTTCTCAGGCTCGAGCTCGGATAGCTCGGCTCGCGGCGGCTTGTGGACTTGCGGGGGGGGGGGGGGCACGTCCCCGAGCTTCGGCTTTTGCTTTCAGGCGCCGCCGCAGATGCCCCGATGGGCTTAGTCCTCGGCACCATCTCGCTGGCTGTGGCGATCATGGAGCTCTCCAAAGCGCCTGAGAGCCCTCCCGGCTTCTACGGCTTCGATCCCTTGAGCTTGAAGGACCAATAAACTCTGGCGCCTTTGAACTTTCCCAGCTTCTCGTTCTTAGCACCTACATGCGGTCCAAGGCTTAAGGCTGAAGATACGAAGGGGATGGCTGAACAGGGGAATGGGCGGTGCATTGGACTAGCATGTAGTCTCAGCCTCGTCTGCTCCTTTGAATTGCCTGCGCCAGGATTTTGAGTTGCCGATGGCTTGCTGGCTGCCGCAAGGTAGACGATGGACAGCAGAAGCAGAGCTGAAGAACGGACGATTGGCAATGCTCGCTGCCGTCGCTTTTGCCTTCATTGAGGTGACTACCAAGGCTGGGTGCCCCTGCTCCGTCAGAATCGAGTCTGCTTCATGACCGCGAGCTCTGAGGTTCCAATCATCAGGCATTCGCCGTTCCATAGCTGACACTGCTGCCACAACAGAGGCAATGCATGCAAATTCGTGCCACGTTCCCAATTAGCCGGCACTCCACCTGAAGCCTCTCGGTTGCGAGAGGTTTCCGCGTGCCACGAAAACAAGTGGAAGACGCCTTTCCAATTACATGTTCCTGCATAGCGCAACCGTGCAGGCTTTGAACAGTCCTCACTACGAAAGACCTGCCCGGAGTTCCATCAGTCCAGCGCGCTGCTTCACACCTCTCACAATAAAACTTCAGAAGCCTGTCGGACCTATGCAACGAAGAAGCAAGTGTTGCTTAAAGTGATGTTACTTCCAGATGTGCCCCACTGGCCACTGGTCACACTTGAACTGCTGCAGCTTGTGAATACAAGTATACAAGTAGTAGTGTACTTGGTTGCACTGTGTTCCTCTGACACGTATCCTGCAGTCTCGTCAGCCATTCGAGATCGGATCCAGGTCTGTGCAAACTGCAACAGTCGAGCCACTCCGCTTTGCTACGCGTTGTTTTCCAACTGTCGGGCTTAGCGCAGCGCTGAGTTCCAAGAGCGATCAATCCAAAACAACGATCGACTGCTGCATGCGCTGTGGAAAGAAACATTGCCTCCAGGCAGAGCCGAGCCTACAGAACAGTAAGAGTTTAAGTGTGTCAGCAGAACTTGCACAGGGGTTTTGATGTTTTTGCTTTCAAGTTGTTGATTATGAATGCGCATGTGAGTCAGTTCTGTGTCAGGCGCCCACGTCATAAAGATGGTGAAGCGGGAGCTGACACGTTCAAGATTGGAGCAAGCCAGGGACAACTCTCATCAACAACCGTCGGTTCGGAGATTCGCTGCCGGGAACGGCCTTTGTCGGATGGCGATGGGGCAGTGCCGCGCAGGGTTGACTGATTCTGAGGGTGTGGGGTGCACAGGATTTCAGGACAGGGGTGGCGAGCCCCCCCCCCCCCCCCCCCCCNNCCCCCCCCCCCCCCCCCCAGCTCGGTCGACCTCCCTTCTTACTCCAGATTCGCTCCGACGAGCACGAAAGCAACGACGAGAACAACCACTCGGAAAGATAAAACAGCGAGCCCCGTGCATTGCCGAAGTATCAAGGACAGGCGTACGGTTTGCTGATGTTAGCGGCCGGGCTCAAAGCAGCGAGCGCCAGAGAATCGGGTGAACAGTTTCGGCGAAGCCGCTAGTGTCGCGAAGCCTTGCCACACACATTACTACAAATGCGGCAGGCGAGCGGCAGAATGAGAAGGGACCGGAGGCACCAGAAGTGCACTAAGAGAGTAGCTGCAACGACGAGAAACGTGCAAGAGACAGAGAGAGAGAGAGA